GGTGGGGGCGGGGAAAGAACGTGCAGGGAACTTGGGAAGTGTCCTGAAGGTTTTGACTCTTTTTTGATGCTAGAAATTGAACCCGGAGTCTTGTGCATGTTAAGTATTTGCTAACCCACTCAGCTATATTTTACCCCAAGAGTATTTATCTCAAACAGGTAATAAAATGTAAGCAGGAGGGTTAAGTAGCTGGTAAAGCTGCTTGTTGCCCAGAACCCATATAGTGGAAATATAGAACTGACACCTGCAAATTGTTACCTTGACCTCCATACATGCTCCAAAGTACCGGTGCGACATACACAGGTTAAGAACAAACAACAAAAATAAGCCAGGCGTTGGTGGTGTACGCCTTTAATCCCAGTGCACTCCAGAGGCAGAGACAGGTGGACCTCTGTATTCCAGGCCATACAGATCGAGTTCTAGGACAGCCAGGGCTACACAGAGAAACTCTGTCTCAGGAAAACCAACCAACCAACCAATCAATCAATAAAAAAAATAAATAAATTGAAACAGATTTTCAAGGTGTATATGAAATTTACCTTCATATAGCATGTCTTTCTGGGTGTGTATAAAGACGTTAGTCTTGTGTGAACTGCTGACTGGCATAGTCATGAAAGAAAAAGGAAGTCTAACTTTTTTCATGCTGGGGATGGAACCCGAGGTCCATGCTAGGCAAGTGCTCTACCATTGAGCTGTACTTAATCCCCTGCTCAGGGGTGGTTGTTTTTGGTTTGGTTTGGTTTGAGATAGGGTCTCACTATGTTGCCCTGACTGTCCTGGAACTCACTCTGTACAACAGGCTGGCTTTGAACTCACAGAGATCCTTCTGCCTTTCTCTCCCAGATAATGGTATTAATGAAATGAGCTATCACGTCCTGCCTGTGTTCTTTTGAGGCTGGGTCTCAGGAGCCAGGCTGACCATGAACTTGTGAAGCCCTCTTGTCCCAGCTTCTGAACAAATGTGAGCTACCATGCTTGGCCTTTCTTGTTATAGATGGGGAAACTGTGACTCAGCCTGGGGAAGGACACAGGAGACTGGTCATGCTCCTTCCTGCTGCACCCAGAGCTTCTTAGACTAGTAACTCATATCTCAGGGTGACAGCTGTGCATGTATCATCAGATGGTCCTCATGACCTCTTTCTGGAGTGACTGGATGGATTTAAGGGGATTAGTTCTTCAAGGTCTATACAGTTCTCTCCTTCCCCACCCCCAGGGTCTCATACATCTCATGCCAACCTTTGCTATGGAGCTAAAGATAGATGCAATGACCTTGAACTTCGAATCCTGCTGCCTCCACTTCCCATATTCCAGGTGACTATCATTGTACCCCCTTATGCTGTACTAGAAGCAGAGGCCAGGGCCTTGTACATGCTAGGAAAGCATGCATCCGACTAAGCCACAGCCCTCCAGGCAAACTTTTTTGTTTGTTTTTGTTTTTCGAGACAGACTTTCTCTGTGTAGTTCTGGCTGTCCTGGAACTTACTCTGTAGACCAGGCTGGCCTTGAACTCAGAAATCCGCCTGCCTCTGCCTCCCAAGTGCTGGGATTAAAGACGTGTGCCACCACTGCCTGGCTTTTTTCTTTTTCTTTCTTTCTTTCTTTCTTTTTTTTTTTCCAGGCAAACTTTTAAGAACACTTAGTAATGAGAGCTCTCCTTAAACCATACAGACTTCTCAGGCAGGTAACATACCTCAAACTCCCAGGGGCTTAGCAGGGCCTTCATTACCATGTATTATGGCCACTTCTCCTTGTGGGGCTGATACTTTGGATACTGTATTTAAACCTGTTTCCTCATCTGTAAAGTGAAAGACTGGGCCTGGTTGCTGGGGCCTGTAATCCCAGCCCTCACAAAGCTGAGAGGTAGGAAAGTCATGATTTTGAGGTTATCTTGGCCTCTTACAGCCCTGGGTTTTTTTCTTTTTCTTTTCTTTTTTTTTTTTTTTTTAAGATTTATTTATTTATTATGTATAGTGTTCTGCCTGCTTGTACACCTGCAGGCCAGAAGAGGGCACCAGATCTCATTATAGATGGTTGTGAGCCACCATGTGGTTGCTGGGAATTGAACTCATGACCTCTAGAAGAGCAGTCTCTGCTCTTAGCCTCTGAGCCAACTCTCCAGCTCCTCTTTTTTTTTTTTTTTTTTTTTTTTAAGGAATATACTTTAAGCATGTGTCCCATGTTTACTCTGTACCCTTGACTACATTTGTGCTTCATGAAAAGTCAGGGATGAGAAACTCACTAATTGTTGTCAGCTTGAGCAAGTCAGTCACCTTCCTGCTTTGGTGTCCTGCCTGGCTACAGAATTCAGCACTAACTCCCTAATCTCCACAGCCTGGTTCTTTTCCAGCTCTCTCATTAGAAAATTGCATTGCACCAGCCATTCTGGCCACGTCAGGTTTCTCCTTCCTTGACTAGATTTCTACTCTTCCCTTGCCTCATTCCCTTTTGAATGTTCTGGGTTGGAATGTTCCACTTCACCACATCCTCCATGGTCCCCCCTCACAGTGGTTTCAGTGGTTAAGACTACACAGCAAAGCTGACTTCCACAGGACACCGTACACGAGAACCAAGGACCCAAAGCAGATAAAGTGGCTTTGAATTCTAGTTTAGAGGTCACCCAGGGGATTAGGAACTATGCAGAAACCTGCATGACCAACCAATCTCCACCAGCACCCCATCCTCCACACTGTTGGGACTTGCCCTCAGGAGCAACTGGGCAGCTGTGGCTGAGTCACAGATGGGTCATGGGCCAGGTGGGGGCAGAGCTGTGTGTTGGCATTTTTCCCAGGTCCCCTCGTGGCAGCCCTCTGTGCTGGGATTCAGACTGGCTCCTGTTCTCTATCATGAGACATTTTTAACTCATTCAACCAAAATTTATTCACCCCAGTGCTCGGCCCTGCCTGGCCCCATTCCCTTTACTCCTCTCCTCATTCGTGGTCATGTTATTAAACCCATCCTCAAATAGCCTTGCCGAGCATGGAAGTGCCCTTCACACTGTGCCCATATGAAAAGCACGATTTTTGCTACTAGCCAAAGCACACGAGACCCAGCCTCAGCATACGCTTTGCCAGGCTGGAGGGAGGCCTGCTACTCCAGAGCAGGTAGTGGTTGCCTTTGTCCTGCCAATGATTGGTGGGCAGAAGCCAGTTCCTGTACATATGCCCTGGTCTCCTAGCTGGTGGACCCACTCTTTCACCTGGGCTTAGTTGAGTCTTGAAGAATGCATTCTGCTGAGATCCAAATAGTAGTTCTTGGCGCGCTCGATCCCGTTATTAAGCAAACAATATTTATGCTTGAATCTCATGGAAATAGATTCTATGTCATTTGGAAGAAAGCGTATGTTTACAAACAGGATCCATCTGTGAACTGGGCATGTGCACATCTGTCACAGAGTCCACAGCTCCATTCTGAGCTGTGGTGTAGAGTAGCCAAGCTAAATGACAGCTCAGGGTTCCTCACTCCCTGGAAAGCTTCTGTAGCAGCTTCCATTCCTGACATGAGTGGCATCATAGGTTGGTCCCCATCTAGTCACTGACAGATGCCTCACTTTGAGTCCCGAGCTAATGACCTGGCTCCTGAAGATGTCAGTCATCAGAGGTCAAGTCCACTGGGCTCAAAGAGGCCCTGTGAGCCTGGGATCTAAGGAGTTCTGTGTCCTTTTTCCTTTCAAGGTTGACATCTTCAGGGTCCCACTGTGGAGAAAAGACAGAAAAGTTATCTTGCTGTGACAGATCCATTCCAACTTTTATAGCCCTGCCATCCCCAAGTGACCACAGCAAAGACAAGGGCAAGTCAGTAAGCACAAGCTAGCCAGACCTGTGTTCTAGGATCCAGAGAGAGAATATAGCTTCATTAACTTTAGTAGTGCTGGAGATGGATCCTGGGGCCTTGAGCGTGCGAGACAAATGTCGTACCACTCAGTTAAGTCTCTGGCCCTCACGCTGGTATCACCTGGTATCACCGTCCCACATAGTTAAGCTTTGAGTCAAGGGCTGACAGAACAGCCACCCTGAACAGAGTAACTCCGTTTCCCTTTCCATCTCTCCCATCTCTTCCCTCACCAACCCCTGTCCTGAAATCTCCTTGATGAATAACACTCCTGGAAAAGAACAGGCAAACTCGACTCTCTTTCCAGTCCAAGTGGGCAGCTCCTCCAGCAGCAAGCTTTAGTCTCTGGAGCTTCAGTCCAGTGAGCTCTCCCCCTTCCCTCGGGGTTACCTCCACCACGCATCGCATCCACACACAGACAGCTCTGGCCTCTCTTTGAACATCTGCCTCACCCTCCTGGAGATGACAAGTTCCTGAAGAGCAGAGCAGAGCAGAGCTCTGCCTTTACCCTCACATAGACTTTCCTCTCAGCTTGAGGCTCAGTGGACTTGTCTAAAGTAAACCCTCAAAGGCCGACTCAGGGCCATAGCTAACAGTAAGAGCACTGGCTGCTGGTTCAGTTCCCAGCACTTTCAGTGCAACTCACAACTATCTGTAACTCCAATTCCAGGACCTGACGCCCTCTTCTGGCATCCTTAGGCACTGCATGCTTGTGGTACCCAGATATACATGCAGGCAAAAATTGTCCATACATTAACAATAAAAATAAATATTTTCTACAAAGTCATTTCAGGGCCAGCAAGATGGCTCAGTGGGTAAATGGTGCTTGCTGCCAAGTCTGACAGTGTGAGTGTGATCCCTGAGATCCACATGGTGGAGGGGCAGAACTGATTTCCTGTAAGTTGTTCTCTGGTCCATACCTGTGATCTCTTTCTTTCTGTCTCTCTGTCTCTGTCTCTCTCTCTCCCCCCCTCTCATGCACATGCACACATACGCACACACAATTTTTAAAAAGTCGATTCAGCAAGATGGAGACTGCCATCACTGACTCTAATAAAATGACAACTTGAAATTTGCAGAGGTCTGAAAGGAAGGATTAGAGAGTGGGAGGGAGAGGGAGGAGCAGGGGGAGAGGGAGAGGGGAAGGGGGAGAAAGAGAGGGGGAGGGGAGGGGAGGGGAGAGGGAAGGGAAGGGGGAGGGGAACAAAGTGGGTTTAAAAAGACCCTTGCAGCCCAGTGACCCTGCAAACTTGGCACTGACATAACTTGGTTCACGCAACGCGGCCCTCTGGGGTACCTGTCTGGGGTTCTGCAAACTTTCTGCGTAGTGCTGGTTGCAGACTTGGCACCTTTAACCAAACTCTTTCCACACATCAAAGATTCTCCACAAAATAACTCAGTGGCCCTTAGCCCCAGAGCCATGTGCTCGGTGGCAGAAGCAGGGACCTGCTCTGTCCTCTGAGGATGGCCAGGACACCTTTTATAAATACTGTTGGCAAGCACAGACCCGAGTCCGAGATCAGATATCTCAGAACGTTCTCTGGGTCAACAATGCCAAAAGCACCATGCCACCAGTCATTAGGGGCTCTGGAGACACTGACAGTGGGGTGAGACATACAGTTTGTCATCTTAACAAATTATTACAGAACTTCTTAGATGCTCTGATGTTTGAAAGCCACTGTTCCAACTCCTCAAACGCCTCTTAAGTAATAAGTGCTAACCCCGATGGATTCACCTGCCCATGAACAGAAACACTTAGAGCAAGTGAACCCTTTAACACGGATTAAATCCTAGAAGGCATTTAAAGTCTCTGACTTCAGAATCTGTAGGATAACATGCTGAGGTGCACTGAGCAATTTAAAAAAACATCGTTAGAAATAAGGCATAAATTAATTTGGGTGAGTGGTGATGTATTCTTGTGTCACAAACACTCCTGGGCTAAGGATGACAGGCACAGGTGGCTGTCAGGAAATATGCTCCTCTGGTGTTGCAAGTGAGGAGACTGCCAGCTGCCTGAGGACACAGAGAGACAGCCGAGAGTGTGTGGCTGTTTCTCATAACCACTGCTGCAGACACAGCCCACAGACCACTTGTGACCTGTAGCTATCCCACGGCTCACGACCCGCCCCGACTGTGTCTTTCCACTAGGTTACACATCTCTTCTCTGAGCTCTTCCTCTGAGCCAGTCTACTCTGAATACTCCCTGGTACACAAAAGACTTTGAAAAGAGAGCACCCCAAAGCCCCACAGGTCCCCCAGACCTGTCTCTTGATCTTTATTTATTTTCTTGGCAGTACTGGGACTAAGCTGCCCTAGGCTTATAGCTCTCCTACACTTCTGAGCCGTATCTCCAGACTGCATTCCCTTTTTGATTTATTTATTTATTTATTTATTTATTTATTTATTTATTTATTTTTAAACACCTTTTAAAAAACTATTTATTTATTTATTTATTTATTTATTTATTTATTTATTATATGTAAGTACACTGTAGCTGTCTTCAGACACCCCACAAGAGGGCATCAGATCTCATTGCAGATGGTTGTGAGCCACCATGTGGTTGCTGGAATTTGAACTCATGACCTCTGGAAGAGCAGTCAGTGCTCTTAACCACTGAGCCATCTCACCAGCCCCCCTTTTTGATTTTTAAATGAAACGAATTGTCATGCGCTCCATCCAATGAAGTCTAACAAAAACAGAAATTGAAAAATCAAGCTGTAGAAGACCCTCCCGAAAGAGAGCAAACATTTGTCCATACCTGCTCCGAGTTTAGGGCTTCCCAATATTTCTGCTGTAGGATAAAAAAGAGACAGAAAACAGGTTGGACAGATGGCATCCCTGCCACGGAGCAGAGTGCAGCATCAGCTCACTGAGTCAGAGCCTTGGATGGCTGGGGAAACAGACAACACTCCAGCAAGCAGGGAGGAGGTCGCTATTGGCAGAGTAGTTAACTTAGTAAGTTAGTTAAATGATCAACAACAACAAAAACAAACAAACAAAAACCACAAATGCCATGATTGCTATGCAGGGTTGTGGGTTCTGGGAAAATGATTTACAGAGACACAATAATTACTATGATTAGAAATGACGGGTGCAAGTAGTTCTAATAATAGTAATAAAAACAGTAATTCTTCTATTCACTAACTGCATGGCTGAGGTGATCCAATGCAAACTTGTAAAACTAAGAAAGAGGTGCACATAAAATCTCCACCTTGAAATATGGGGTTTGCCAAGCAGCTTGGATTCATTTTTATTCAGTGTTTATTGCATGGTTGGTTCCACTCCAAGTTTCAAGTATGCCTGACTCAAGTCCCTGGAGGGGCAAGCACAGGCTCCTCCATCCCTCTGGCTCTTCCTTCGGTGACTGGGAGACATTGCATTTCTGACACAAGAGCTAGAGACCTAGGTTGATAGGCTACTTGAAGATGTCTGTCAGACCGGCTAGCAGCCGATGGCTTTAAGGCTATTGGTACATGATTGCAAAGCTTCTACTGTCCAACTCTTTCAAGTAATTAACCAGTCAATTAATTTATTAATTGTGACAGGGTCTCATGTAGCTGAGGCTGGCCTCAAACTCACCACATGGCTGAGGCTGTCCTCGATACTCCTCCTTTCGCCTTCCAAATGCTGGGATTACCAGCTGTGCTGACATGCCTGCACTGTTCAGCTCTTTAAGTGTTCACTTTTCAAATGCTTCAGGTATAAGGTTTTCAGTCATACACAGAAGCAAAGAATAATGACCGCAGGGAAGCAGCCTGCTCCCCAGTCATCTGCTTTGATATTTTAAAGTAAACTGCTTGATTGCAAATGCTTTAGAATGTTTCTGTAGGTAAGTCCCAATTGTAATATCATGACTAAACCTAATACTATCTCCACGTAGCCCCGGCTAAGTCCTGCAGAGTCCGTAACCTCCATCTCATTTTGCAGACACAGAATACTTGCCAAGAAACCCAGGGCCTTGTACATGTTAAGCCTGAATGTTTACTTGAAGTGAGGCAGTCCCAAGAGCTGTGATTTTTGAGACACTAAACCTGGTACAAGCATTATTACTTCTACCAGAGCTACACCCTGAGCTGCCATTTTTTTTTCAATCAATTTTGTGTAACAGGCTCTCAGTATATAGCAGAAGCTGAAGCTGGCATGAAACGTGTCATCCTTCTGCATCAGTCTTCCTAGTGCTGGGGTTATGGGCATGTACCACCCCTTCTTTTTAAAGCTGAAATATATATATAATAGTATACAAAATATATATGTAAAAATATAATATATATTTGTATAATATACATTTACATATATAATTGTTCCTCATATTTCTCCCTTCCTATCCTTCCCTGCCTCCTCCCTGCTAGTGCTCACAGTTTCTTTTCCCTAAGAGAAGAGGAAGCATTACTCAGAAGCAAAGTGATAGCACAGAGAGCTGCCACAGGGCAGGGCCCTCAGGATGAAAGCACTCGGCCACATCCATCTTTTTATGGCCTTCTTCTGGGGGAGCATTGTGGGAAATATTCATAAGAAGAGGTACAAATTATTAAAACTGATGTAAAGTAGGGGCCAGGAATGCTTCATAATTTTAAACTGTGGAAATAAGAAGAGAAGTAAAATTCCAATGCACGTTGCTTTTCCTTAGAAAATACAGACATTCGTGCAAAATGAAAAAGGGCAACTTGCCATGTTACAGTTAGGATGCACTTGTTTCTTTAAGGAATGTTTCTGAGTGCAGAGTGCTGTCCTGGACCAGATCCAGCTGGTGAAAAACTGCTGAGATCCAAACAGCGCCGGAGTCCAGCTGGTAGAAACGTACTGAGTGCATTTCTGAGCGTTGCTAAATGGAGCACGTTACGTAAGACGTGAACAGAGCAGCTTGCCCAGGGCAAACGGAAAATCGGTGCTAATTTTGAAAAAATTCTGTACATTCACAATTATTCCAAAATGAAAAGTCTATTTCAAGCCAAGCAAACCAAGAAGTACGCTTGAGTCTCCCAGCTGAGTTGAAGTGAAACTTTATAGTCTTTCCACCACCGACACCAGGGACAGCTGGAGAGCGAGGGAGAGCGCCCTCTGCTGGAAGGAGTAATTAGGGTTTGTTGTTATTAATTTGAGACAAGAGTCTGTGTAGATCCGTCTAAGCTTAGCCTGAGATGCTGGGATTACAAGAATGCACCACCACACCTGGCTTTCAAGCTATCACTTTAAGCCACTGGTGACAGCTTCCTAAGAAGCTCACTTAATTCAAGTCTTTATAATGGAGCTCTATCCTCCCAAAAGACTAACAATAAATAAAATGTCTTAGGTCTTTCTCTGTATCAATAACAAAACAAAAACAAACAAACATGTTTATTTGTAAAAATTTCAAAAAATAGCATCCCAGCTGGCACTAGGGAGGTGGAGAGCAGGAGGCTCTGACGTTTTCAAGGTCACCCTCATCTACATATTGATTTGAAGCTAGCCTGGACTACTTAGGACTATCCCAAAATATATACACACACCTGGGACTGGAGAGATGGCACAGCAGTTAAGAGCACTGGCTTCTCTTCTAGAGGTCTCAGGCTTGATTCCCAGCATCCATATGGTGGTTCACAACCATCTGTAAAGTAACTCCAGTTCCAGGGGACACAAGCGCCCATTTCTGGCCAACTCAAGACACTGCATATATGTGATACACAGACATACATGCAGGAAACACTCATACACAAAAAATAAAAATAAAGAATTTAAAATACACACTACACACATACATACACACATTCTCACACACACATTCACACACACACTCACGTGCACACACATGTACACACACACACAATGTTCTATATTCTGTCTTCAGGAGAGTTTCTTTCTGAACGTTATTGAATAGCCTTCTGAGAACAGTTATCACAGTCATGCTACATGCATGATGATGGCATGTGTACATACTATTTACACGGCAATAAGATCAAATTGTGTGAATACCTTTTTTTCTGTTTTACACTCAATAATAAACATCTCCACAGCCTTTACCCTTTGGGACGAGATCTTGACATGTCTGTCATTTAGGCCAGCCCCCAGCTCCCAAAGACTGCCACCACACCTGGCTCCACACATTCTTGAGTATGTGTCACCTCTGTGAACCATAGCACAGAGTTTCCACGAACGAGCTTCTTAAAGCATGCTTTCCCATGCTTCTGAAATCAAGAAGCATGCACTAGTTTTTTTTCTTTCTACACAGCATGTGGCAATATTTCTTTTATTCCTGAGAAAGTGGAGAGTGGCTAAGCATTAAAGAAATAAGGTCACATTCTAAGTTTAAGACAGACTGTGGGAACTGGAGCATCAGGACCATCTGCCCAACGACTTTCTCCTATATGTAGGGAGAAGTGACTGTTCCCCAGACTGGAGGTAAGATGGCATTGGAGGTAAGATGGCAGGGGTCATATTTTAGACTGGTCATATTTTAGAGAGACATAATAGGTTCATCTCCCCTAGAATGGATTAAATGGATTTCTGTTTTTGCTTCTCACAAACCTTAAAAGCCTACACCATATTTCCCCAAACTCTCATTCTTTCTGTTTCCATATTGTTATGTTTGTTGCTGGGGACTGAATGCAAGGTCCTGACCAGCCAGCCTATGAGCCACGTCAGATCTATGTCTTTTAAAAATTCATACAGTATTCTTGACTAGGGTGGTCTAAATGAGAATGGTCCCTATTGGTTCATATATTTAAATACTTGGTTCCTAGTTGGTGGAACTGTTTGGAAAGGATTAGATAGTGTGGCCTCGTTGGAGGAGGTGTGGCACTGGAATTGGGCTTCTGTCTCCCTCTGCCTTGTGCTTGTGCCTCAAGATGTGAGCTCTCGGCTGCTGCTGCTCCAGAACTTGCTGGCCTGCCTGCTGCCATGGTCATGGTGTCTCATTACAGCAATAAAAAAGAGACAACAGGATGACCAGTTATATAGCACTTACCCTGGAGCAGCTGGCATTACAGTCCCCCCTCTCTGACTGCCTCACATTCCCTGCCCTGCCCTGCCTTCCTGGGCTATGACAGAGGGAAATAGGATCTGCAGCCTGGAACAGTCCATAGACATGAAGTGCTCTATAGCCTGGAACAGTCCATAGGCCATCAAGTGCTCTATGGAAGGACAAGGCTTTCCAGCAAGGCCTGACTGCTCTGGGTGGTCTGACTGGCAGACTTCTCTAACAGGTCTGGACAGGCCCACTATGCTGGATCAGAGAAAGCAAACCTCAGCCCACAGTGGATGGACTTCCTTTGTGAGGATGACACAGCTTCTTCAGAAACATGCTAAGGTTGGAAGGAAAGGGCCACCTGGAGGGGATTACTGTTTATGCAAATGATGTGCAGAATCCTACATCTCTAGACTCTGGTCATGCTGATGCACAGATACCTTGGAGCAAAGGGATGGGTGTGGCACACAAGGGACATGCTCATGAGAATTTGCAAGCAGTGATGTTCAAGTGCTCCTCTGGTCAAGGTCAACTTACAGCTTCTGGGGTTTGAGCCACAGGAATGAAAATGTTCTAAAGCAGGTGGGTGTGTGCATAGTGGGGGGGGTCCACACATGTGTGTACGTGTGTGTGTGTGTGTGTGTGTGCACATGTCTAGGCTGCTACTAGCATGCTACACCGCAGTTATCAAGGACATCGACCCTCTTGGCTGGTGACTTGCCCCCTAAGCTTTCCTGAGGGAAGTCTTTCTAGTTTGGGAAACTGTCTTAGTTAGGATTTTATTGCTGTAAAGAGCTACCATGACCACAGCAACTCTTAGAAAGAAAAATATTTAATTGGGGCTGCCTTATAGTTCAGAAGTCTAGTCCATTGTCATCACGGTGGGAAGCAGCACTTGGGCAGACATGGTGCTGGAGAAGGAGCTGAGAGTTCTACATCTGGATCTGCAGGCAGCAGGCAGAGAGAGACACTGGGCCTGGCTTGAGCATCTGAAACCTCAAAGCTCATCCTCACACACCTCCAACAAGGCCACACCATCTAATGAGCCTATGGCCACTCCCTACGAACCTATGGGGGCTACTTTCATTAAAACAAACAAATACCAACCACCACACTGACCCAGTGAAAACAATCTTTGCCGCCTCTTCCAGTTGTACTCCTTTACAGCTATACACACGACCTCTTCCAGCTGTACTGTCACATTTGGGGTCTCCACTGTGCAAGGACCTTAAGAGTGCTTGCTCTACAGCATCAAGACCCTTCACATTCAACCTTGGCTGGGACCTTTAGCTTTCCCATCATCTCTGATCTTAGGCCCAGTGCTTTCAGATGGCACTATAGTGTGTCACTGCCCTTGTGCCTTGTATCAAATGGGTCTCATGAATACTGTGTGGATTCACAGTCTGTGAGTGTGCCTTCCCCTGAAAATGCTGAGAGTCTACATAGATCACACAAAAGCCCTTTTTGCATGGCCATCAGCCATAACCACGTTTGAAATTTGGTCAATTTTCACTTCCCAGGGGAGTGTCCATGGCACATGGTCTGGTTGGCCTCGTGCCTTCTGCTGTCACTGGGATTCATGAAAACATCATGGGATTCAGTGTTTCATCCTGCGCTGGACAAGACACCATGTGAAGACAGAAGCAGAATACACAGGAATCGGAAGACTGGGGCATCTAGCAAGAGCACAGGCTGAACAGCCCAGGTCCTGCCAATGCTATAAGAGACCATCTCTGTCATCACAATGATAAGCAAAGTGGGCTTTAGAGCTTATGGTACTAGGTTCAAATCCTGGCTTAGCCTCCTCTTCCTCTTCTTTTTTATTCCAGCCATCACTGCCCAGGCTAGCCGGCAGCGGCTGGGATTACAATTTGGAGATACTATCCCTGGCTTTTTCTTATGTTTTCTCAAGCTAATGAAATTAGTCTAACCTCAGACATCTGCCTTTGGGGCTATTTAAGATCACTAGCACGTGAGAAGTCCTTACTAGACCCTCCCAGGGCCTCGCACAGGACACACACACTCACAATCAGCGCGCTCTGTCATTCTGATGAATAGGGCATAGAAGTACTAGGTGAGCTGGAATACTGTGCATACAACATGTGATGGAAGCATCCCTCATTTCACTTCCCCAAGTGCATGATGGGAAGTCAGTGTTCACAATAGTAGACACACACCCCAAGAATCTAAAACTACTCTATGAAAGTTAGGAAAATGCCAGGCAGTGATGGCACATGCCTTTAATCCCAGCACTCAGGAGGCAAAGGCAGGGAGATCTCTGTGAGTTTGAGGCCAGCCTGGGCTACAAAGTGAGTTCCAGGACAGCCAGGGCTACACAGAGAAACCCTGTCTCAAACAAACAAATAAAAACAAAAACGGAAGGAAGGAAGGAAGGAAGGAAGGAAGGAAGGAAGGAAGGAAGGAAGGAAATTGACAAGGGTGACAGGAAGTGAGTATCTCCTTGGCCCACAGGCCTGGACAGTGGGAGTGTAGAAAGTACAGAAGCTCAGATGCCCAGCTCAGGACTCCTGTCTCTGTTTCACGTCCTCCACCACACACAGCCAATGGCACAACTGCCAAAGTCTTATACAGAGACACTCTCTCATCTAAGGTCCAGCAGACACACGTGTGGTCAGTGACAGATTCAGGCCATAGGGCTCAGGGAAGTACACTCAGGAGCATTCAGGGATAGGCATCCCAGGAGGGAGGAGGGAGGAGGGAAGAGGGATGCCCTGGATGCCATGAGTTGCATGGCATCAAGTATGTGAATGATGCCACCGTAGCGACAAGAGAGGCTAAAGGCACAGGATACGATCTCTGAGGCCTGACTCTGACCCCACATCTCCATCTTTCAGGCGAGAGTTCCAAAGGTGTGTGCAGAAGATCTGAGTCACCATGGCCAAGAGGCACTGTAGCTGCCCGCCTGTGGGCAGGCTCAGGCCTGTCCCTCTGACCTCATGCATTTTTTTCCTTCAAATGCCCATGCATGTTTGCTGAATGACTGACCAGCTGCCAAGGTGAGGTATACAGTTACACCATCTGCCAACAGATACCTCCTGATCTCACTTAGTAGCAAACAAACCAAGAAATTCAAGGAACGGGGCTCTCAGAACCAACGGCTCTGAGGAGGTGAGCGCCCGTTAGTGGGCCTGGTGCTTGATCTGAATTTCCATCTTTACCCTCTTCATGCTTCCCAAATTTTCTGTCCCCCAAAATGTATAACATTTAGTGTGTTGCATTTATTCATTTATTTAACCCTTTAAGGTTAGTTCTTACTATATTTCCCAGGCTGCTCTTAATCCTGGGCTCCAATCTTCCTGTCTCAGTTTCCCAGGTAGTTGGGACTATAGGCATATGATATTATTTTTGCCTGTTTTTTTGAGACAAAGTCTCACAGTAGCCCAGGCTAATCTGAAACTCACAATATAGCCCCAGCTGGCCTTGAACTCATTGTAATCCTCCTGTCTCAGCCCTGAATGCTGAGATTTTAGGTTTGAGTCATCATACCCGTTTTGATTACTTTTAAAAATAGGCCAGGTATGGTGGCACATACCTATAGTCTCAGCACTTAGGAGGCCTCAGTGTCTCTGCACTGCCCTGACCTCACTCTGACATCCCTTTAGACACAGGCTTCAGTGGAGACTGCCGAATCCAGGCTTCTTGGTGTCCCACACATTCTCACACTCAATTTAGGAATATAGCCTCAACAGGTGTACAAGTCCTAACTCCAACCCAGCTCTCAACCAGCAGCTGTTGAGGGGTAAGGGACAGATGAAGACCAGGTGATACACCAGGTCACTGCCACCTGTGATGGGTGGGCAGGAAAATGAGCAACAGGGGGAGGGAGCCACTGGTCCTGAGGGGAGGGTCACACAAGCCGGCCTCTGGAGAGAATTCTGACCCATGGAAATGGGGCCGGAGGGGACCCCAGGAAGGAAGGTCCAGGGGCCTAAGACAGAAAAAAAATGTCCAGCACAGAATGCTAGATATGAGCAGGGATAGCATGGTACACTGGCTGGAAACGCCTGAAAAATCACACTAAGGAATCTGGTTTACCCCTCAGTCAGAAGTTCTGGGGTTTGGAATTTTTGAATCCTGTGTAAGTCTGACTAATTTTCAGACTCTGAGTAGATAATGCTTATTTTGCCAAATAAGGGCATTAAAAATCAAACCACACCCAAACCACAGAGCAGCATTACGTACTGCTTACTATTATCATTTCACAGATGGATTTCAACAGGCAAAAGGCTGAGACACAGAACTCACTCATTCCTTCACCAAAACTGCCAGACAGCGTCCTTCTCCAGCATACGTGTGAGCCTGTGTCGCCCTTCATCTCCTCTGTCCTCAGACAAACAGAAACTCCCTTGCTGTATGGGGTTGAATGGGGCACTCAGAGCGACAGGAAGCATTGGAGTTTGTGCGCCCCTGATGTGAGGTATGTTTTGTTTAGATACAAAGAAGTTGGAAGCTGATCGTGCAGCTTCCCATAGCCCTGCCTGCGTGGGTTGGCACCGGCATTACACGCCTCTGTTCTTTGGGGTAAAGAAAGTCTTTTATGTTCAAATGGGCTGGAAAGCACTGGTGCCAAGCTTCCTCCCTCCCTCCCTCCTTTCCTTCTAACACGTTCTTATATAGCCCAGGCTGTATTTGAACTCATGATCCTCATGCCTAAGCCACATGAATCCTGGCATTACAGCCTAAACTGTCAATCCTAAACTATAACACTGAGGCTTTAAAGAGATCTATCACTCATGCTTTCTGGGTTTTTTCTGTAGGAAGGACCTGAATGTGCAAGCCGTCTATGAGAACTGGACCCCAGTATTCAGTGTTCCCTTGACCAGCCCAACCATGAAACTGTTTGAGTCCTGCCAAGTTTGAAAAGCTCCAATGTAGCCATGCAGAGTGCTTCATTCATGAGCGGCAGTTTAGAGGTTAGAAAGGCAGGGTTACAAAGCAGTTCGATCTCAAGGAGGGAGGCCTCAGCAAGTGTTGGCAGGTGACACACCCATGCACCCACCCAAAGGCAGCCCCTGTACCTCCAGGTCGGAGTTGATGGAGGAGACCTCGGAGGCACTGCTGGAAGACACTCTGGCCTGGATGACCTGAATGGGAGGGTATGAGGGAGGCTCCTGCAAGGAGGCATCTGCAGTGCTTGTCTGTCCATCACCAGGTAGCCTGGAGGCGCTGCAGCTGGCCTGCGAGGAGTGAAGGGAAGGGTGGGTGGTGGTGTTCGGTTTACGTCACTTCTCAACGTGCAAGCATTCCCGCACGTCAGCATTGCACAGGCACAGATGTGCGGGCTGCAGTGTCCCCGACCCTTGGTCCTCAGCATCCAAAGGTGTCAGCACTCAAGTTCCCTGTATCCTTCCAGACATCCCACATGGACACCCTCAAGTGCACTCATATGTGTGCCCCCTACTTCCAGTATAGCACACTCTATAGTATCTTACAGGTTTATTTTCACTTAACAATATGCCTTAGATATGGTTCTATATGACAAGCTATAGGGGCTGTTAAGAGTAGCATTATAGGTGTTCACAGTCTATTTAGCCAGTCCCTTACTGAAGGATACTCAGGGGGTTGAAATTTCTTGTTTTTCCAGTCTACACTGACTGTGGTAGGTCACACCAGTGCAGTGGTTTGAGATGTTCCTCATAGTCTGAGGCTTTTGAATACTCAGTCCCTCGTTGGTGCCACTGTTTGGGCAGTTTAGGAGGTATGGAATTGACGGCGGAAGTACATTGGTGGAGGTGAGCTTTGACAGTTTAAGATTCCTGCTGTCGTTACTTTTCCCTCTCCACCTGGGTTTGCAGGTCCGGGTGTGAGCCTCAGTTTCCAGTGGCCCGCTCCAGCGGTCGGGTCCGCTACCTCTGCCCTCACCATTACGGATCTGAAAGCCTAAATAAATCCTTCCTTCTCGAATTTGCATTGGCCATGGTGTTTTCTTGAAGTGATAGAAAAGTAACAAACACAGTCAGACATCTGAAATTCCAGGGTACGCAGAGAACAGCTAGGAATTTCTGGATTAAGGGGGGGGGCATTTGTAGCAGTGACAGCTATTGCCCAAAACACATACCACTGAGGCTTTCTCAACTCACACCAGAGCAGCATTCAAGAGAGTGGTAGCGGAACTGGGAGACACGGGAGGAGGGTGCTTCTGAGGAGATCTGTTCTCTATCTTCAACCTATCCTTCAGAATAGGATTCTGGATACGCCTCAGAGATCAAGAGAGTGCCATCTACTGGGCTTTCAGAGCCATGACACTTTCTGGGCTTTGGCCAGAGTTGGGAGAATGCCCTCAATGCCAACACTTGAGAAGTGGAAGCAGGATGGAGTTCCAGGTCACACTCAGCTGTGTAGTGAATTATGGGACAGACTGGTTACAAGAGACTCTGAATGACAACAACAATAACGAAAAGCAAAGGGCCGAGGTGGCACAGCTGGTTGGATATACTAAAGGGGAAGCTGCAAGAGGATTATGAGTTCAAGGCCAGCCTGGGCTATAGTTTGGGTCTGCCAACATGGCCCAAAAGGTGCTTGCCACCAAGCCTGATGACCCGAGTTTGATACTCCAGAACCCACATGGTAAAAGGACAGAACTGACTCCTTTATGTCATGTGCATGACAACCCAATGCACACAGCCTACACCAAAGCTTTCTGAAAGGCCATCTTCTTCTAGCTGACTGTGTCACATCTCCGTAGGAGACTTGTTCTCTTTGGGTCTCGGTTTCACAGCCAATCAAAGAGGGCAGTGACAAAGGGACAGGATGTAAGTGTCCTGACCCCAAATAATGAAAGTTCAGCCCTAGGGGGACTTCATGTACCATATTCCATGTGAGTCAGTGGGGCAGGTGGAGAAAGTCCACAAAGAAACAGAGGCAGGGTTCTGGATGCAGCCCTGGAACATGGGTAAGGGGCACCCTGCTGCCCTCAGAAGAAGGGAGCTGAAATAGAATCTGTAGGTCAAAGGGGGTGGGGCAGGTGGTTCCTTGGTAACAGAAAAAATAGTCCTAGAATCTCCCTGGGTAGATTACACCCGAATCAACAGATGAACAAGGGTCTTCCAACGTCCCTGTTGAGGATGGAGCTGTTGGTCTTCATGGCCATGGCCCCTCTGCCCATCTCCAGGCTCTCCTGAACCTTCTGAGTCCTGGCTCTACCACTGGCAAGCCAAGTCACCTTGAGCAGTTACTGAAGCCCTTCCCTCCTCTCTACCCCTTGCCTGTTAATTAGGCTGTAAAATGAGAAAAATACGTCAAGGGTCAGCACTGAATTTAATCTATGGCAAGGGCTTGGGCCGGTGTTGCAGCTCACAATAAGGACCAGATTAATGCTAGTTGTACTGTTTCCAGCCAGTCAAGCAGGCTGCCGGGGAACGCAGGCTGGACGGCCAGAAGGGCCTCTCGCCCTCTGGTGGACACAGATGGAAGAGCCTGGGTGAAACTCGCTGGTGGGTGGGCTTTCGTAGGGGAGAATGAAGGAGGCACATATCCTTCGTGAGTGGGTTTATGGAGGGTGGTTCCCTAGTATCGATCACGTGACACCGAGACATGAGGTGACTGAAGAGGAACACAATTCCACGCTCCTCTTTCTTTGTGGTTCTGGGGTTGGAATCCTCGCTAAGCAAGCAATAAGTCAATCACAGCCCAGGGCCCATGCCAGAAAAAGCTTCTGCGACTCTTTTCCTCATAAGTGCTGTGATTTAAAATCATCGTTCCTAAGCCACTCACAACCCCTGCCTCCTTCCCCCTCCCTCCCTCCTCCCTCCCTCCTTCCCCCTCCCTCCCCCCTCCCTCCCTCCTAACACACCCCGCACCACATCCCCACCACCTTCCCCCTCCCTCCCCCTCCCTCCCTCC